CGGGTAGCCACTGCTTGTGGGCCGGGGGCTGGAGGCCAGCAAGCGTGCTGGGGTCACGGCTGGGGCGGGGGTGGTCTGCTGGCGAAGCGGCAGCTGTCGGGGGCTGGGCCCAGGGGTCAGATGGTTCCGTGGCCCATCCCTGGCGGCCTTCCCAGGCCTGAGTGGGCTAGGCTTCCCAGGGCCGCTGTTGGGTCGCTCTTTCTTTGCAGCTTCCGATCCAGTGGGTTTCTTGCTTCCAGTGGGGACTGAACCCGGAGCCAGGGTCGAAGGCACTGAGGTCGGAGACATCACTGAGGCTGGTGGCCCGATGGTCCGGGAGGAGGCAGGACCAGGGGCAAGTGATGGGGGCAACGCAGTGGCCTGGGGAGGTCTGTGCGTGCTGGCATGGGCAGGGGCCGGCTCACTGGCACCACTGCTCGTCTTAGCCACAGGCTGGACCACCGCGGGAAGGAGCTTCTTTGAGGAGCCGGTGGTGCGAGGTAGGGACTGGGAGCTGGGTCGGGGAGGTCTGGGTGTTACAGAGTTCCTCAGGGGGGGCTCCCTTGGGGGACGGGAGGCTTTGGCTGGAACTGGGTGGGAAGGGGGTGGCACTGGCTTCTTGGTGGGTGGGGCTGACTTTGTGAAGGCAGACGAAGCTGCCTTTTGTGGGAGACGGGGGCTTCTGACAGGCACGGTTGAAGGAGAAGGGGCCGAAGACTTGTCGGGGTGACTCTTGGGGATTTGGGTAGCTGTGCTTTTCTGAAGTGACTGGACAGGCCTGGTGGAGCTGGCATGAGAGGCTGGGGATGCAGGAGGAAGTACTTTCTTGGAGGACAGTTTGGGAGGGGACGGTGGGGTCTGGACTGGGGCTCCCGCTGCGACCCACTGCTGAGGGTCAAGGGTTCGAGTCCTCAGGGGCTTGGCGGGTGGAGCAGTCACCACAGTCACCCTGGGCGCCGGGCCTGCTGGTCGTGACCCCAGAGCTTCTGTGGCAGTAGTCAGGTTCTCCAGGCCTAGCAGGGCGAAGGGGGGGCCAGAGTCTGGGGGGAGGAGGGGCCCCAGCTGGGACCGGTATGTGTCAGCCTGTCCACACTGCTTTCTCACTTGGGTGCAGTAATTGTGAGCGACCTGCGCCACTGGGTAGATGCTGAACTGGCACAGGGCACCTTCGAACTGGACTGCACGTGGGCTCATCTTGCCGAAGAGGAAGGAGCCCTGGGGGTCAAATGCTGGGTCCCTGCGGAAAGGCAGCGGGAGGGACACGCGGTGCTGCCCGCAGGCCGTCACCAAGGTGACGGTGCGGCCGCGCAGCTCGAGGGCCAGGTGGTGCCAGCGCCCGTCATGCACGTCGAGGTCAAAGGCCACAGAGTACCTGGGCCCCAGGTGGACAACCGTCTTGCCGGGGAGGAACTGCAGGCCCAGCTGCAGCTTGTGCTTCCGGCTGCGGACAGCAAAGAGGAACGCATGGTTCACCCGGTGGGAGCAGAGGCTCAGCACCAGGGCCAGCTCTGTGCCCAGGGCGGCGGGAATGACAGTGGCTGTGGGGGCCTGGAGCCGGGCCCGCTGCGTAAAGATGAAGCCTGAATGGAACGGGATGACTCCCGGGGGTGCAGGGTTCCGGCCGCTCGCTGCCCTTGTCCAACTGAGGCCCAGCTGCTGGAGGACATCCACATCTGGAATGTGGGGAGGGGACACGGTCAGGATCTGCGAGCCCCAGACCCCTCCCTTCAGTGCAAAGATGGGTTGTTTTCATTCAGCCGAGCGTAACACGAGCCCAGGGAGCTGGTCCGGGGCCAGGCCACACGCCCTTGCACGGAGTGGTCAAAATCACAGATGGGAGCCAACTGCTGGCTGTGCCTTTGGGCCTCAATTTCCCATCTGTTAAGTGGGATTATAGGGTACCGGCCTCAGAGGGATGCTATGAGGATTCAGTGAGCTACATGCTTGAAAAAAGTACCCAGCACAAAATAAGCACTTTCAGGTGATGACTATCAATACTTAAAATGATGATAGTCACTGTTAAGCCAGCGTTGCAATCGCGAAAGGCCCCCAACCTCCCGGGTTTCTTTCCGCCAGGAAGCTGTCCTGTGAGTGGGGGCAGCGACACTTGACCTGGAGCTTGCGAAGGCTGTTCCAGGGGGGCCTGACTGGTCTCCCCCCTTGAGGAACCCACCTACTCCCCTCCCCACCCAACCCCCAAAGTCTGGGGGAGCGGAATTGAAAGGAGAGTGAATGTCCAATGTCTCCCTCCTCCCTGTGTGCCTTGGGAGCGAGCCGGGAAGCTATCAAAGCGTCCGGCAAGCTCTGTCCTCTGGCGAGGTGTTTGCAGATCTGACCTGGCCAGGCCAGGTCACATCCGCCCAGTAATTACGTCAACAGGGCTTGCCAGAGAAAAGGAGGTCTCCCAGGGTGTTTATGGAGAGGCTTCCGGACCTGGCTTCTGCTGGGTCGGTTGCTGGACTGCCTGGGTCTGTGGAAGCCAGCTCTGAAGCTCTGTCTCAGCCGAGAGGAGAGGCTGCCTCTGGAACTGGGTCAGATGGGGTTCTTAGGTCCTCTGCCCAGAGCTCAGTGACCAACGACCAGCCTCCAGCACAGCGGGCTTCTGCTTCATCACCCACGGAGAAGGAGATGCCAGAGAGCCATGCCCGGGGCTAAATGTTAGCACTTAGCTGGCGCTCTGTGGACAGCTGAGACAGATGGACAGACGGGTACACAGATAGGTGGGCTACAGAAACTAGAAGCCTGGTCCCAAGGTGTAAGCTTTCCAGAACAGGCTCTGGGGTCAGACGGCGAGGCTCTAGGGCTTGGGCTCCCAGCCCCAGTCCCCTCTGCTATAAAACAGGCCACAAGATGCCTCCGCCATCGCTGGGGGGGGTCGGGGGGGGGGAGGGAGATGAAATGGCTCCCCCTCACCATCCTGCTTAGGCACTGACTGAATAATGACTGAGTAACTCTGGGCAAGTCTCTTCCTGACCCCGAGGCCACAGTTTCCCTGCCTGTAAGACAAGGCGAAACAGTCCTGCAACAGGACTATTCCAAATGCCATAGAGAATTTTTAGAAAGTTAAGCTTTCTCTAGCTCCAGGCTGTTACGTCGGGTTGATTCCCAAGCCCTTTCTGCCAGCTCCCTCTGTCCCCAGGTTGTGAGCTCAAATAAAGCACCACGTAAGGATGTTCTTCGTAGAAGCACACTAGGTATCATTTTATCTCTGAGACCCTCATTACAATACGCTATTCGCGACAAACAATTTAAATAAGGGAGGGACCACGTGATGGAGAAGACGTGAAGACCAGAAGCCGCCTGCTCTCCCCTGCTTGTCCTACCTGGGAAACCCCGGGAGACCTCCAGACCTGCACGTAGCTCTCCCTTCAGAACACGGTCCAGCCCCAGAAATGACAACTGATCAGGCCAGGCACATGGCTGGTTCTATGGACCCCACAGATGGCAACATCAACCATGTTACCATGAACATTCTTATGCTCGAGCATAACAAAAATGAGCATTTATTGAGCACTGACGGCATGCCGAGCACTTCACAGGCCTTATTGAGCTGGATTCGCTTTTCCGTCTAGATGAAGGTCAGAAAAGTTACTCTAATAGCTTGCCCAAAGTCACGCAGCTTATAGCGTGGGGGCTTGAACCCCGACTGCCCGGCTCCACAAACCTAGTTCTAAACCACACTCACCTGCACTGGACCTCCTTGGGCCGGCTGGAAGGCAGGGTGGAGACACCTCCAGAACCCTCAGGGGCGAGGAGCTAACGGGCAGGGGAACGAGGGCACCAAGGGGGAAGGACCCAGCCAACTGGCCGCAGGAAGTTCCCTTTATTACATAAACCTGGCTGCATACAGCTCCAGCCCCTCCCCAGCCCTACAGTGCCTGACTCAGGACTCTGGACAGCTGTTCACCTACTTTATGGGGGAAACAGCAAGCTTGGAAAATATGACGTTTGCACAAAATGTTGCCGGGCAGCAGGACTCTCTTCCGGGCTCAGCCCTCCCCTCTCAGGGGCCCAATCCCTGCCCAGCGGCCAGGTCAAGCCACAGGGTTCTAGGAGTGCCAGCTGCCTGCCCCGCACATGGACCGACAGGGTGGGGTGGGGAGGGCCGCCATTTCCAGAGGCATCATGGCTGCTTGACAAACAGATGTGGGAGAGGTTTCGGTTTCCACAGGCAGCTGTGCAGCCAGCCCACCGCCTCCCTTGCCCCCTGGACAGCTCCTCAGGGAGGGCAGGGGCAAGCCAGGTCTCTCACAGGAAGATGAGGGTGGACGATAGGCTTGGACCGTGGTGACTATGGGCTCGGGGCTCCACTCAGCGGTTCTTGGGGTAACCATGGGACACAGGAGGAGGACAACCAAGGGCTTAGGAACCTCGACAACTTACTCAAATTTTGTCCTAACGGGAGCAAAGGGGCCACCCTTTCAAACTTCTATACTAACTCTTCCTAGCACTTTCAAAACTTCCAGTGTATTCCTTGAAGCCCAGAAGTAATTTGCCCATGGGCAGCTCCATTCTACTGATGAGAAAACTGAGGCAGTGAATTCCAGTCAGGGTGGTGAATATCTCCTACCCAAGTTCCCAGGTCCCTGCAGGCCTCCCTTGTCTCCCCCTGGACAAAGAGAAAAAGGATTACCTTCAGGAGCTCCTTGGGTGGAGGCCAGGTGACAGGCAAACGAGACCAAGATCCAGGTGAAGAGAAACCCCCTAGAGACAGGAAGATAATGCAGCATCAGCTTCCAGTCCATGCGCCCAGATCCGGCTGGGGGTTGGGAGGTCACCCCGGCCCAGGCCCACTAGGCCTCGTCCTCAGGAAGCAGCAGGCAGGCTTTGGGGGCCCATTCACGTGGCCCCCACTCCTGGGTCTCCAGTCACAGCCTCACCCACACACACAGCACAAATACTACCTCACTTCTCACAGATCCATAAACCCGGTCACACAGCAGGTAAGAGTGGGCAGGAAGCCCTGCCCTGGGCATGAGAGCCCCAGTTTCTAGCTTCAAGTCTGTGGCTCATTTACTGGACAACAGCCCCTACCCGCTCTGGACCCCAATCTCCCCCATGTACTTGGCCAGTGGGAAGACCAGGATGGTTGGCTTGGATGATTCATGTCCTCAAAGGGCAGGAAAGAGGGGCGCTTTCTACCCCCAAGGCAGAGAGGGGAGACCCTTTCACCAGGACCAGTGCTGCGTGCAGGAAGTTGCCTATCTAGCGTTATGCTGATGGAAAATGGGAGAAAAAAAGAGATGGTGTGGAGTTAAACAGAACCAGATGCAAACCTGGCCCCACTGCCACCAGCTGTGTGACCTTGGATGAGTCACTCGGCCTCTCTGAGCCTGTCTCCTCTTCTGCAGCGTGACTGACACTCCTTATCTTCCAGGCAGGCATGAGGATTAAATGAGCTCATAGGTGTCAAGGGCTCAGCCTGCAGCCAGTTACAGAAGTACTCCTTAGACCGTTCCAGAACTCTGGGACCCGGAAGGGTTAATTAACAGCCTGCTTGGTGGCTCCTGCCAAGATGGGCAAAGGCAGTGATCTGATTTCACCTTCCTGTGGGAGCAGCCACTGGTGATACCCGAGCCACCCAGGGCATCTGATTCCCAAGCAGGCAAAGGGGAGGGAGGCCCGTGGCCAGGCATGTGGGCAGAGAGCGCCCAGACAGGCGGTGGCAAAGCCAAAGGCTGGGACACACAGGCCCAGGATCCATTTCCAAGAGGGAAACCCTGATACTGTGCTTTGGGGAACCACGTAATCCAGGAAACTCATCTACTGGTGGTGTTGTCTGGAGCCCTGGGTTCTTCCTAGTCCCATGGGCGGCTTGGAAAACCAGCTCACACCCTGTGATTTAATAACAAGTATTTCCATTTAACTGCACTTAGGTCAATAATCCTGACCTGGGCAATGTGAAAGAAACCAGAGGTTACCAACCGACAATCATACCCCCTTTCTGCTTGTTCAGGGAGGCACAGATTTCAGGGGAAACTGGGGGAATCTGGATAAGTAGAAGGCAGTCCTGGGGATCTCATTGCCATGGCAGTGGCAGGTTAAGGCCTGCGTGTCACCTAACTGTGGTCAATGAGATATGAAGGATGTCTGCTGGTGGCTCCTGGAAGGCTTCTCCAGCCTCAGGGCCTTTGCACATGCCACATGCTGCTCCGATTATATAACACTACTCTCTTGCCTGGTCAGTTGCCAAGCAAGTGTTACATTCCAGATTGGGAGTCACCTCCTGCATTGACAGGACTCTCGACTTCCAAGTGTCCTCCCAAAGCCTTGATACAGGCAGGTCCCCTGTTGCTCCAGCTTGGTTCTCAGCCTTTCCTCACCTTCACCAATTTGCTGCCACCTGGAAAATGTCTTTTTCATGGGCCATTCCTCCCTGCCTCCCTGGGCCTCACCTTCAGCTCAGCCACCACCGTGACTAAGGTCAGCGTGCAGAGTGGTGGCCTGCCCCATTGCATGACCTGCCAGAGAATGGCAGCCTCATCCACCCTGAAGAGAAATACTAAGCAGCTTTGACTGGACAAAAAGCAAAGATCAGAGAGGGCAGGTCCTTGCTCACGGTCACTCTGGGCAAGCTCTGGAGTCCTGATTCTTCAGTATACTACTCCCCACATCCACCAGGAAACTGCGGTCAGGCGTATGGGGGAGGGGCTGTCTCCCATGCCCTGGTCTTAGCAGTTCCCAGAGCACTACTGTACGCTAAAGGCACTGAGAAGTCCTGCAGAAAAGAGCTTGGCCACACTTGCTGTCAGTCAGTAGTCCCAGTGCTCAGTGGGCCAGGGAACTTGCTTCCCCTGAAAAAGCCTTCTCAGAAGTCACTGTCCTGCATTTCCTGCAGTTCCTACAACCTCACTAGTTCCCCTTCCATTTCCTTCCATCCTCTCCTTCCAGTCCTTTCCAGGAACCAGCCCTCTCACTGCCTGATGTCACACCCACCCTTCTTTGGACATTTCCAAGTTGATACTGGGAGGCCAGGTAGACAAAAAAACCGTGTGTGTCCAGAGTCAATGTTCCTGTTGTGGTTACAGCAAGAAGACTAGGCGGTAGAGAACAGGAAGGTAAGTTAGGAAGAAAGACCCACTGGGAAATAGAACCAGCATCTTCTCTCCAATAAAGCTTCCTGACCCTGCTTTCCCACTGAGCCTTCAGTCTGGAAGGCCCGTTTCTCTATTCCTCCACCTTTGACAAATGCATCTGACTCTCTGAGACATGGAGGCTGTGTGCACTTGACCCATGAGACAGCAAAAACACAGCATGGGACTAGGGCCTGGAAGAAGGTCCCTGTAGACCATTTAGAGACCAGCTTCTAGACCCAAGTCTGATTGCAGAGACGGGCCACTGAGGTCCAGAGAGGGGCAGTGACTCACCCAAACCCACACATATAAGTGACCCTTAGCCTCTGACTCCGCTACTGTGACAGTCTTTTCCATTTGACTTCTCTCAGGGAGATGGAATTGGAGACTTACAGGGACTTCCTACTCGTCAGAGACCGAGTCTCATCCTTCACCAACAGTAACAGAGACGGAGCCCAGGGAGCCAAGAAGCCCTCTATGTAAGCTCCCAGGCCTGGAAAGTTGGCTCCCGGAGGGAGGCCCTGCCGATTCTTCTGCTCCTGTTCCAATCCTGTTTAGGCTACTGCTAATAACGTTCGTGCCTGTGCTGGCTCAGAGCTTTGTTCTTCCAGACTTCTGTTTTCACTGCTGACTGTGGGCCTTGGCTCCTCGGCTTGGGGAAGCCGGGGCTTCAGAATGTCGGGAAGACCAGAGCACAGGGGCCAAAGAGACAAGAGGTGGCTGAAAGACGAGCCACGCATCAGGGAACTGGATTGGGGAGAGATGGCCTGGCCCCACACCTGACCACACAGCCCCCCACCCCCCTCCCCCACCCTGAGGAAGGAATCAGTATTCTTTGCTCTGCTAAAGGAGTGTGGTCATTATTCCTAGTCTTGCCGCTGGTTTGCAAGGGTTTTCCTCCCTCCTGGTGACCTGGGAAGACTCGGAGACCCAAACCAGCTTCAAATTCCACTGAAAGCTCAGAGCTGAGACCAGGGAACTGAAACACACAAGGAAAGCAGCCTTGTCAACCACGGGCTGGGCTGGGCTGGGCTCCCACGGGGAAGCGGAGCAGGAAGCTGGCCAGAGGAAAACGGAGCAGCAAAGGATGGACATTCCCCACCTGCCTCCACAGACTGGCTGAGGTCCGTTGGCCCAGACACCACGCCCCGCTCCTTCCTTCACACCTTGCACCTCTCCTCAGGAACACAGACGGCCATCCGTCTGGACAGGATGTGGCCCAGACCTTTCCAGTTGACTCCCATGCCCATTCGAAGTGCAGAATAATAGAAAGAACAGCTGCCACTCACTGAGCACTTACTACATGCCAGGCACAATTTTACGCCCTTCACAAGCACAAACTCGTGAATCCTCATAAAACCCTGCTAGCTGGGAGTTCGGGTGCCCATTTTGTGCTTGAGAAAAACGAGAAGCAGAGGCTTGTGGCTGGTCCAAGGTGGCAGCAGAGTGAAGATTCACCCTGGCTCATTACAGACACCTTCTGGTGCCAAGTCAGCCTGTGGGGTCTCGGGAGGGGGCCCTGGCCACAGAGGTGGGAGATGGGGACAGTCCCAAGTGAGTGTGGTCAGAGAGGGCCACTGGCGGGCAGCCCCCCTCCAGGGCGCCCCCAGGGGAACGGATGGCTGTTGAACTGAGCCTTGAGGGAAGCTGGGCCTGTGGAAGCAGATGTGGGTGTGGGGCAAGTGCAAGGAGAAAAGGAGAGGACAGCAGGGCGGGGGCCACACCGTCCATGCAGCGGGGTCTGGGCAGCGGTGTGGCGGAGTACAGCCCCAGAAGGCAGGTCAAAGAGCGCGGGCTCTGGGGCATCGGTGGCAAGGGCGGCCACCAGAGAGGAGAACACGGAGGCTGGGCCTCAAAGCAACATGACTGCCCACTCACCCAAAGCTTGGGCCCCACTATGGGGTGCTTGCCTGGCACCACTTTCTACCCAACCACTGGCATCTGCCCTGGTCCAGGGTCCTCTGGAGAAAATGAGTCAGCAGCGTGCTTACTGGTGCACTGTGTGGCTGTGTGTTGCAGTGGTGGTGGGAGGGGGGTCGCGGGGGAAATCAGCCAGCCAGTTTTTTCCAAGACATGGGAAAGAAATGGGGGCGGGCAATCCTCCCCCTGAGTCCAGTTCCAAGGGGGCAGGGGAGGGTGGGAGGAGGAGCTACAACCCCAGGCCAGCCTCTTGGGAGTGTCCTAGGAGGAGGGGGCAGGCGAGAAAGGGAGCAAGTTCTGTGGCTCTGGACGAAGAGCCCCAGCCACAATTCACAGTTCCCGGGCTGCTCGCAGCCCACTTATTCCCCCCACACCCACACTCAGTGACTCGCTCTTGCAGGCTCACTGGCTTACGACTCCTACTCAGAGGCTCAGGATCCGGCTCGCTAGGAGAGTGTCTCCCCAGGAGAGTGTCTCCCCTCTCAGGCCTCCTCTGCAAGAGGGGTTGGACTTGGTGATCTCCCAGGGTCCTTTCTGCTCTGACATGCTGGCTCTCACTTTCCCTCACAGGGGAAAGCCCCAGGAGTGGCTTACAGAGACCGCCCCCTGAACCCCCTCTCGGCAAAGAAACACAGAGCCAGACTGACACACACGCGGGGATTTCTAGAAACTTGGGGACGTGCAAACACACACAGACACCGAGACAGCCGCCGAAGCTGAGACCTGGAGATCTGGGAACATGCGGACCGTATCTACCAGGACGAACAGAAGTGGAGACGACAGGCTCGGGACCTGTAGACACGAGACACCGGAACACACCGAGACAGGCAGAAACGGAGACTCCCCCTTGTCTCCCCAAGCATCTAAAAAGCCCCCTCCGCCCCGCGCTCCAGAAGCCACAACCCACCCCCAATCCCGACCCGGGGCTGGCTCGGCACCGACCTTCCCCAGCTCGGCCCCCACCCCAGTGGGATCCGGCGGCCCACGGGCGGGGCAGGCGGGCACAGCTCGCCAACCCGCGCGGGGCTGGGGGGCGCAGCCTGAGTTAACCCTTGGTGGCCCGCGCCGCTGGGGCTCAGGCGGGGGCAGGAAGCCGATGTCTCACTGGTGGCGTCCGGCGCGGCGGGGAACCCCAGCCTCCCCGAGGCTGGAGCTGTAGGGAGCTGGAGAGGTGGCGTCCCCCAGATTGTACTCACCTCCCGCGCGCCGCCGCTGCAGCTGTGCCTCGGGCCCCCCGCGCCGATCCCGCTCCCATGGCCGGCCCCTACTTCATGCTCCCGAGCCCGGGGGGCAAGTGTGGGCGCGGCCCATGGGGCCGCCAGCCCCCCGCCCCACCGCGCCAGGCCGGCTCAGAACGCGCGACCCCAGTGCCCCCAACGCAGCCCAGCGCCCAGGGGCGCCAGAGCAGGCAGGCAGCGCGACTGGGGCCCTGCGGGCGCCGGCGCCAGGCCCATGGTCCCAGGAGTCCCGGCGCGGCGCTCGCCCCTGCCTCGCTCTTTTTCTGCTCCCAGCGAAAAGGAAGAAAAGGCAGTGGGGGGAGCGGGGGAGAGATGATCAAACTTTTGGAGGCGGGCCACTGGCGGTCCCGGGAGGCAAAGCAGGGCCAGGCAAGGGCGCGCGGAGGGCGGTGGAAGCTGCCTCCCTGCCGGCCAGGGGGAGGAGAGGAAAAGGAAGGATTTGGGGGAAATGAAGGCGATTTAAAGTCTCGGCCCGCGGCGGCTCTCCACCTTCTCTCCTCCCCGCGCCGGGCCGCCCTCCGCTGCCCGCTGCTGCCCCCTGCCGGCGGCAACCAGCGGCGCAGCCTTGGGCCGGCCCACGACTGCCGGTCTAGGGCGCCCGCATCTGTATCACTGCGGTCAAGATGGGGAAACTGAGATACGCAGAGATGAAGGGCTGGCCAGAGCTGGTCCGCAGAGCATCAGAGTTTCAAGATTCCGGACTTCTGGCTTGGGACACTGGGCGTCCCCGAGATGGGGGAGGAGATGGAAGGAGAGTATAGATACTACTCTGGAGAGGAACCTGGAGTTCCAGGGATCTCTGGGAGGGACCTGCACTCAGGGTCCAGACCCCATAACAACCAGCTTCCTACTCTCCACACACACACACACACACACACACACACACACACACACACACAC